CAATGCCATTTACAGTATACTATGCATTACTCATCCTCAGTTATTGATAGTGCCTTTAAGTCTGCTAATTTTTGTTCTAATTGTTTTTCTTGTTGATCTACACTTAGTGGTTCTCTAGACTTGTTATATCTGTTGGTTAGTTCTGTGAGAACTTGGACAGCATCATTATAGTAGCTTGCCTGTTCAAAAAAGAGAATGGTTAGGATATTGTGGACAACAATATGCTAAGTAGTCTGTAAGTGGTTGGTAAGGTGTCAGTTAGTGGTTGGTGACTGGTCAAAGTGGTTGGTGAGTGGTTGGTTAGTGGTCAGTGGTTGGTGAGTGGTTGGTGTGTGGTTGGTGAGTGGTTGAATTGGTGAGTGGTCAGCGAGTGGTGGGTTAGTGAGTGGTGGGTTAGTGGTTGGTGAGTGGTGGGTAAGTAATCGATGAGTGGTCAGTTAGTGGTTGGTGTGTGGTTGGTGAGTGGTTGGTTAGTGGTCGATGAGTGGTCAGTCAGTGGTTGGTGTGTGGTTGGTGAGTGGTTGGTGTGTGGTTGGTGAGTAGTTGGTGAGTGGTTGGCGAGTGGTGGGTGATTGGTGGGTGAGTGGTGGGTTAGTGGTTGGTGAGTGGTGGGTTAGTGGTTGGTGAGTGGTGGGTTAGTGGTTGGTGAGTGGTTGGCCCTTTTGCAAGGTTTTTCGTTGTCTTTATTTAAGAGGATGTGGTTATGGATGTACTTGCTATTAGGCCTATTATATCATAAGTAGAAATTGAATCTGAGTCTGCATGTAGTCATGTCCTACCTCTGATCGAATAAGAGCCTCAAATGAGGGTTCAAAGTATGCTATTCTGCCTTCAATAAGAAGAGGTAATTCCTGGAAAAGGAAAAAGACATTCAAGCCTCTCACAATGTATTTAATATTAAACACAAAGAAGAATTTGTAATTAAGGAATAACGAACGATGACAATGACATCAACAACAACAACAATAATAATGATAATATATAATGGCAAGGGTAGTTGTGGCTTTTGCATTACTCTATCTCTCTGTACAAAAAATACCTATTTCAAGCCCTGATACCTTAAATAGTTACTTAAATAAATGAAATAAAAAATATCAATTTTGTTTATAGACAATGGCACTTGACAGTAATTCAACTGATAAACTTGTAGTCCTGTTTAAGCATCTCTTATAGTTAATAAAGTAAGGGACCGCCATTATTGTGCTCATCCAAGCCACATCAAGGTCTAACCATTTGCAGAATATGTAATTACAAGGGCAGCACCTTCTCAGTTATTCTAAGACCCCGAATGATGGTCTGGCCGAGGCTTGAATCACGACCTTCTGCACAACGCTCTTACCAACTGAGCTAAATGGGTGGTGATTTACTTACTTCTAACATGGTGGCATTCTGTCTTTCAAAGTCGGCTTTTGCTTTTGCTAGGTCTTGTTTGGCCTGAACATAAAGATATTTCAAAGATTATGCAATCCTGTGGTTAAATGCTGAGGGTGATTGTGGAGCATGCATGACAAAAATGAAATAAACTTATAATAATATGTTGCTTTCAAATATATCGGTAATAATGGGTCTTTTTGCATTTTGGTTTTAAACAATAGATTCCACCATGCACGGTCTGTATTCAAGTGCTTGAGAATAAATTTATGCAGGTGAAACAAAGGTTTTAATAAACATGGCTACTGTTTGATAAAGGTCCATTGTGGCATAATGTTAACATACCTGCTCTATCTTGGTAGGATTCTGTGGCTGTTTTTCCTTTTCAGTCAATTTTTCTGCCTTGGCCTGCTGTTTGGCATACTCCTACATAAGCAGATAAACAAACAATGTCTTGATACTGCAAAACTACAATAGTGACAGTGAAATTATAGAGGATTCTGATTGATCACATGCAATGCTGAAATGCATTCAGTAAAAACATTGCTCTCCTTATTTAGAAGCATGAATCTAACACTATTTTTTTTTTGTACTTACTATTAAACTTTGTTCCCTTGATTTGATTGCTTCATTCACTCGTGGGAAAGCATGATTAAATCTGTGAGAAATAAATAATGGAAAAAAAAAATAAAATAAAATAAATAAA